ATATATATCCATTTAAAAAATAATATGTGTTTATACTTTAGATAACATGAGATATTTAATATTTAGTATGTAGACAAATTATTTCGATGAAACAATTATCTTTGAGACATCTCGTGCGTAAAAAATATTACCTTATATATATATTACGGTTTTTATTCAGCAAATCTTCTTTCTCATCGCAGTTTGTTATGTTTTCCTTCGCCAAAGAGCCACAAACAAGTTCTGTCAGCAATATAAGCAAGCACAAAGTCTGCCACCAGTATTTGAACCAAAACTTTTCGAAACTATAACCAATTGAACACCATTAATATTCGCTAATGTCTGCATTCAAAATAATACTTACATCACTTGGAAAATCAACGATTTCGAATTGCGAAGCTATGTCTGGTAAGAATCCACAAGCTAATGATAAGACAACAGCAGAACTACCCAAGAGACTATACAATAGTGACTTATTTTGTGTTAGACTCTCCATAAATGGTTGACCCTACGAAATAAACATTTGCATAATTATACAAAACGACGAATAAAATTAAAAAAGAAAAAAAAATAATAATTCTTAAAGCTACAGAATAATTTCCGTATTTTTGTAAAATCATCAGTAAGTTATTTGACGAAATAATTTATTACCCGATAATTGATGGCAAATGTGGATATTTGAAGTGCTACAGCTATTATATAAACCGTGCTATTAATTAAACTTGCTTCAAATTTGTCTTCATCTTTATCGGAAGTATCGACAGAAGAAATGTTTCGATTTACGTCGGTATTGGTAGCAAAAATCGCTGCTAATTTGTCATCGCTAATTAATACAAAAATAATTATTATTTGAAATATAATTAACATATGTAACTTTATAATATTTAGCAAGCAAATCATAATATTCAATCGAATGGATTTACCTTGGAGATAATAGTGTAGCTTCTTTTACTAAATACACAAGACAGAAGAAATGTACAGCAAATTGTAGCAACACTGTTGCAATAGTGTATAGATTAAAAATATTTGGCAGTGGTCTTTGTTTCGATAAAGTTTTCAATGGTTTTGATGTCGATATAAATAGAAAACAAGCTGCTAAAAGAATACCCTGTAAAGTCGCCTGAGCATCACTGAATTTAATACCTTCCAAATACAGAACAGATTGACTATAAGCAAGTACTAATGCATTCAAAGCCAAAATTTTAAACATCTGCAATGTTGTAACTAACGTACATCGTCCTTGTTTTATAACGTGACATACTACAACACAAAAATTATCATTTTATTTTTGATTCTAATATTACATGTCGAATTAAAAAATCTTTTAATAATAAATGTATACTCACTACACTGGATAGAAGACATTTTGCTAGTAAATGGTGCAGCAATAGATGCATCTCCAAGTTTTATGACGGTAGATTGTTCCAATTCTTCAATATCTTTTAATATTTTGGGTAGTTTTGTTTGCATACTAGATTGTTGTCTCATGTTCATTCGAGGCCCGTTACTTGTTGACGTATTTGTTAGAGCTACGTGCGTATTTCCAAACGACGAATTTTCTCGTCTCTCTGCCGATACTCTTTCAGGTAGACTGGATAATATTGCAACACCTGAAAATTGTAATATTAAATAATACATAAAATACGCAAATAGAACAATATTTTTTTTTTTTTTAGAGAGATTTTTCAATAGACTTACCCACTTGTGCATGTTTTAATGCACCTACATCATTTGTTCCATCACCGCACATCAATGTTGTATATCCCAATGATTGTAAGGAAACAATGATAAACTCTTTTTGTTTAGGCTCGCATCGAGCAAATATGACAATATGTGGTAATAATTGTCGTAAAAGACTTATGTTATTTTCATTTAAATACGAAAGTCCCTGAATAAAATGAAATAAAATTGATGTCCAAAAAAAAATGGAAGAAAATACATCATTAATCTGATATTAAAGAAAATTACCTCTCCGGTTATACAAAGAGTATGTTCTTTCCAAATTTCATTGCCTTGCGATTTTACATTTTTTATGCTTAAAGGTATTTGTGTTTTTCGATCTACACTTTCCCAATACCATTCACCATCACATTCCATTAAAATCAGAGTACTTGGTTTTTTTGTAAAATGCAATTCACGACTGACGTGACAAGCTGTTAAGGGATTATCTCCGGTAATCATAACTACCTAAATAAACGATTTATGGAAATCAGCATTATAAAATTAAAATTTAAAAACGTTATATTGATATTTTATATTAATTTGTCTTACAGAATGGGAAGCATTAAGAATTTCTTTAATGACTGCCTTAGAATCGGGTTTAAGCGGACAACTTATAATAACAAATCCAGCAAATGAAAGATTCTTTTCCAAATTTTCTCGAGTAAACTCTCTCAATTCCTGAGCAGATAAAGGATTTGAAAGCTTACGATAACCCAAGGCTAAAACTCTTGCACCACGACGAGAAAGAGACAAATACGTTGAATCGTAATTATCGGGGACTTCAGATAACTGTAATATAATGCGTAATTTATATAAAAAAAAAATAACTATATAAAAAAAAGAAAAGAATATTTTAATTGTATTATAATATTATATAAGTTCTGACCATATTCTTAACAGTTTCGGGTGCACCTTTTACAGTAACTATGTAATTATTTTCAGATGAACCAGGGGTTGTGTATCCTGCGACAACTGACATTCTTTTTAGTGCCGACGAGAAATGATATCTTTGTAAAATCTTTAGTACTGGTGATTTGCCCTTTTTTGGTATTACCGAATCACCTATTTAATAGTTTTTTTTTTTTATAATGATCTTATAAAATATATTATCTATATGATGTAACATACTTTTTGTAAGGCTCCAATTTACAGCTTTCAATGTAGCTTTCTCAAGTGGATCTCCAACGATCCCATCATCTAATTGCACTAAGGAATGGCACGTTGCTAGTACTTGTACACTTTCTAAAGGTGCATCAGAGAGTGGCATCACATCTGCCTTACCACTGATGTACCAAAAGCATTACGTTTAATAATATTATTCTTTAATCTCATATTATAAATATTTAGTTCATAAATTATACTTACTCAATCCCTGCTATCCCTTCGACAACGAGATTATCACTAGTTAAAGTTCCAGTTTTATCAAAACAACAAATTTCAACCTTTCCTGCAAATGGTATCCTAAAAGGTTCTGTACAAAATACACCTAAAAATAATTTTTATTTTAATATCATGAACCATTAACAAGATATAACAATGAAATTTTAACGTTTTGTAAATACCTAATTTAGATAAAGCTAACAAAGACGTGTTTACAGCTAACGACAATTCGATGGGTAATTCTGGTGGTACAACGGATGTAAGAATAAGTGTACACTCCAAAAATAACTTATACTTATTTCTTGTTGGATCCTCGCTGCCTAAAAATATTATATTTATAAAAAAAAGAGGTCTCTAAGGTATAAAAATACCACGTCTGATTGTATTCTATATGTCATATGATCGGTAAAAATTATTAAACCTTTGATCCAAACATAAGCTGCAGCGGCAATCGCAAATATCAAAAGAAATAGAATAAACCCAAATGTTTCAAGATTATTAGCTGTGACACGTTTAACTCCAAAGAGTATGGTTCTCAAAAGTTTACCCTGTGATGTTGAGAATCCAGTACGCAACACATAGGCAACACAACCATTATCAACGGCTGAAATATAAAGATATAATTTAATTAATCATTATATATCTCATATATTTCAGTTATATCATTTTAAAATGCATACCTCTCAAACCTGACACATTTTTACTGGGTGATGTATGTTGTACTACTTTAGTTCCTCCAAATAATACATGAAGTTTATCATCTCCTTCTATGTTTAAATCTCTGTCGCCATCTATATCATCTATTGGTTCTTTCATTTGAGGAACAGATTCACCTTAAAAGACATAACATATTATTGATCTGCTTGTAAAACATTCAATTAACAAAATAATACAACAATTACCTGTTAGCATACTTTCATCCACAATGCATGGACCTCTTAGTAATAACATGTCACATGGAACTAAATTATCATTTTGTGATCTTGTTATTGAAACAACATCACCGGGAACTAATTGATCGGTAAACATATAACGCCACCTTCTGTTTCTATAAACCTTGAATATTAAATTGATATCATTAAAAAATCCATTAATATAGATTACTTATTATACTGACCATTATCATATAAGGTTTGTTTCCCATTTTCCGTATTTCAGCCATGTTTCGGAGTTGTTGTTGTACAAGTGTACATTCAAACATAATAAGCATAATAAGAGTGAAAATACTATAATACCAATATTTATCAAGGCACCAAAGTGCAACGCAAAATACTTGAAAAACAAAAAATGGCGCGATTGCTCTTTCTTTGAAAAGTTCCCAAAATTCCGGTACAACCATGTCCAATCTAAATACAAAAATTCATAACATCTTACTCGGTTGATCTTTTAATAATATTACTAAAATCATTTCAAAACTATGAACCCACTTATTTTTGCCATATTTTTCCTCGGCAGTTGTAACTTCCTTCTCATCGAGATATCCCTTCCATTCGGAATAATGTTTAATTGATTGATTTATAGGAAACTGAAGACTTTTAAAACACTTCGTATTTGGTTCCCAATAATACTTTGTTTTTTGAAATACAAACCATGGTTCTTGTTTTTCTGCATGGTGTAATTTAACAAGTTCAGAACTGCCATTATTTGGAGTAGGCACTACCTTCGCAATTGTCGCTATATATGGATTTTTTTCCTAATATACCAAATTTTCTTTGATTACCACATTTAAATAACATATAAATCATGTCTTTCAATATAATACATTAAAAATAAATCCCAAATTGTGACTGAATAATAAAAATATATAAAAATGATACGAAAAAGATCGCACAGATAAATGAATAAAGTGCCATAGATTTGTTTTATGTTCGAATTTAAAAAATTTTCCCGCTTGTTGGTCATGTGACTTCACATAGCAGAAGTCGAACATCCGTTCGTATAGTTGTCACGACAGTGTACATATTGTTCCGGCCAATTGCATTCTGCGTGTAAATAAATAAAAAGAAATGTAATTCACTAATCAACCGTATATACTTACCGAACTGCAATTCAAAAAGGTATGCACATGCACAGACCATTGGCAGCACAAGCAGACAAAAATTTGTAGCACACCGATTGCAGCAATTCCAACCAGGCCTGCATCATAATACTCATCGAAACCGTAAACAAATATCCAACTATAAATCCACATAAACTGCAATACTACAAAGGGTAAGACGTAACCATTGAATAACAATTTTCGAGGGTTGTGAAGAGTAACCGTTTGTACAAGATCGTCCAGTCGTGATTTGTTGGTCGCCATGATTATACTACGGCCCAACATAGCATGGATGTATTAACGTGAGGTTGCTATATGAAATTCTTTCTTACGCGAATCTCGATACTTATTACAACAGTTGTACTTTCTTTCATTAGACATCTACAAGAATTCTTATTGTTCAATAAGGAAGCGTAAAAAAGGTTACGTTTGGTGTAACCACGCCACGGTGGTATTAAAAGATCTGCCAGAGGGAACAAACTTATGTTAGGAATCAAGATTTTCAGTACTGTTGACTACTATGATAGGAGGTGTTGTTGTCGCTGTTAAACGTGCTGCTATGTGGTCAAAATTGATACTAGTAGAAGCAATAGTGTCGAAATTGATAACTTCTAGGACTGCGTTTATTTCCGATCTCTTATTTCAACACTCATCATTCATAGTTCGCAAATATCAATTGTATACCTAGGTATTTATGTACTGTTATCTTATATTGTTACAATTATTACCACGTTTTTTTTATAGTACTTTTTCTGTAAAACTAGTGACAAAATAATTGTTATGAAGATCTGGTACAAAATCGATAGCGGCAAATAATTTTATCGCAGCATTTTCTTATTGACAGAAGTTAATAAAACAATAACATCGACAGAAGTTATTGCAGTTCATTTAATAATTCTGCATAAACATGATTAGCAATTTTATTTTTTGTTTCTAATTACCATAAAAAACAAGTACATTAGTTAAAAATCATAAAGAATTTATTAATGTATAGTAATAATATCATATTTAGTAAAAAGATTTATTTAGCGCTTTGATGCGCTATTTATTCATACCGGGATCACAGCATGATTCACAGTTAGCGTTACAACTTCTAAGTTGCCACGTGGACGAGATTATTCAGTGACATAATGTGACATGAAATATGAAACTTCTGAGAACATCAACAGCAACATAAAAAATGAACGACAACGACTCCAATTAGATGTTTTTAAATAATGTTATTAATATAGCAAAATATGAAACAGAATTTAAATATAATCCTAAAATATATAGAAAAGCATAAATTAATGATCAATAATTCAATCATATTTACAATGTAATTAAGAATTCTGATACTTTTTGTCCACTTTAGTTGCATTTTGTTTCAAGATGGCGCATCTAGCGTATTACATCACGTTCATGAAATGGAGTGCATTCTAGTGTACTCTAGTGTTACTTTCAGAAAACTTCAACTAGCGCTGTATCAACTGAGCTTCATCAATTAGCGCTCTATATACATAATTTATCAATAAATATCATAAGAAAGTAAAAAATAATGTATGTAACAACAATTTTGTTTAATAAATATACGTAGTAATAAAAAAATGAACAGTTATATATTACCTTGCAATAAAATATAAATTTTTATCGCATTGCTATCATATAATATATTTATTATAAGATTAAATTATAGTTAAGAGAGATAAATTATTGTAATTATTTATTATAATTATATTGGAAAAAGAATAACGAGCATATGAAATAAGACATATCATTTGGATAATTAATGTAGTAATTAATTACACGCCTTTTCATTTTAGCATATTCTTTCAAGAAAGAGAAGATATATATAGAGAAAAGAAGTGGATTTAAAAAGAGAGCATCGACCTCGTTTCGTCAATAAGCCAGGAACTATAATGCTATCTTTCGGTGTTAATTAATTCTACGCGGTAACTCCTACTTGTATAACTCTCTCATAGCATATTTGATTACCTAATATCGGTGGCGAATGCTATTCCCTTCAAATTTGAGTTGTAAATGAGGTATCTTCTTGAGGTACGTCGTCGATGATCCAAGTGGTTTCTACTGCTTTAAATTTTGTTTACCCGATGCTATGTGAGAAAGCTTCGTCTCGTACTCGTGCGAAAACTGTGGCAACAATCTACTGTAAGTAGTAACAGTCAACGCCATAGTCCGACATTACAACGGTAATTCGCGATAATCGTTAACTGACTACTTTTCTTATCTTGTGTTAAAAAACCCACGCCAACTTCGATTCGCAATCAGAGCGCGGGAAACAGCTTCAGATAATTAACGTTTTAAATGTTCATATGAATACATCTGGAATTCGTCCAATGTGTTTATGAAGCGGACGTTTTGTTTGGCCGATTACCAACTCGTTTTTGCACCGGACGACCTCCTCTTATTCTTCTTTTTATTTTTTTATTCTTTCCTTTTCCTGTTCTCGAGTAGATCGCTATAAGGACTCGGGCGACGTTATTAAAGATTTTTCGTATCTGCTTTGCGACAAAGTTGTCAAAAATGTGTCAAAGTGTTCTCCTTACTATTCGTTTTACCTCTTGTTATTTTCTTCCTTTCGATTACGCAGAACTCTTTTATCGGATTTAAAAACCGTAAAGTTCTAAGAGCCGTACGAAAGAAACACTTCGAACGACGTTTATGCAGATGCGTTTTTGTAACGATACTAAGTTATAATAACCGAAACATTTTCCTCTTGAAAGAGAACAGCTTGACAAGAGCACGTCCTGCCGCGAATAATCGATGGTGTTTTTTTCTAACGTTGGATTAAGTTTACAATCTTTGTTCGAGGAAACTGTGATTTTCCCTTGAATTTCTTCCTACGTGAATCGATCATTGTGGGATTAAGCTGATCCGAACGTATAACTCGTATAATTCGGAAGAAGACCAAAATCCTATAGGAAAGATAACTATCTAGATATGATCGTAATAAAAGCAACTCTATTTATATTCATATCACGTATCTATCTATAGTATTAGCAACCTGAGTGATCTCTTGAATGTATTCGATGAAATAGAATCGGATCGAAGATCTCTCACTTGGTGATATCAACGGAGACATTCGTTGGGCGTTTAACACCACAAAGAGAGATAAAGAGAGAACTCGGCTTTGGTTTAATACAAAGACGGGTTCATCAATCGGGGCTACCGCATCGAAATGCAAATTTTTGTTCGAGTGACTTCGACCAAACGGGATATCCTTTGATCGCTAATGAAACATCCTAATGCATAGCCACGTTACATGTGGAGAGCGAAACTCTACCTCTCGATGGTGCAGAGGGGAAAGAGAGAGAGAGAGAGAGAGAGAGAGATAGAGAGGGTGATGATGGAGGGAGTCGAAGCAGAGGCCCGGAAAATCAATTGGGTCAATTGTTTGAACTGTTAGTAAAACAAATATTTGAGATAACCAACCATCAAGCGAGCCCCCGTACGTTGTGGAGAACAACACTTCATTCTTCAAGGGATAAATTTACTCCGAATGTTCTGTCGTTACTTTTTCTTCTTCGTAACGTTAATATAGTCAGCACGGAGTGTATAGTTCGCTTATTCTTTCTTTTTATCCCTTAACGAGCACAATGAGTATTCATTAACCTCGTTATGTCATCGCGAAGTATTACCTGCCGCATTTCTCCATCATACGTTTTTCAATAATAATCGAAGAAATTGATCTGCCGTATGATTACCTATACGTGCACCATCTAATGAGAAGGGTGGAAAATAATTTTCAGGGTGAAGTTTTGCGAAGTACTGAGTTAAGGAAGGTATCTACCCTATCTTCTATTTGTATAACATACTTTACTGCGACGTAAGATGCGTTAAAGTTCATTAACGGGAGAATGTTCGGAAGAGAAAGTTGGGAAGAAGTTTTTACATGAAAATTGTCACGACAAATACTCGACTTAAATTAATTCTCTTTCTTAGATAATATCTTATGATTCGTATTATGGTTGAAAGTAATTATCAAATGTATTAAAGTAGTATAACCAGATAAACAGTTATCGTAAAGCGACAATTATGTTGTCGATTAACATAGTTCAATTTATTGACCCTATTCCGACATTTTGGTATGATAGTAGTACGGAATTAGGAAGCGTTGATTGCTATCTCTACCGACGCCGACTATCCTGCTGACGTTGGTCTGTTTTTCCCAGGAAACGTAGTTCGTGTTCTTCAGCAAGAAGGGGCAAACGACTGAACATAGCGATTCCTAGGAACAAAAGCGAGAACTTTTGATAGATCAGTAGACCACAAGCTGGTAGGACTAATTTAGCTAGCCAATTAACATTTGAATTATTATCTTTGGGCTCGATCTTATATGGTCAGGGATAATTTATTTAGAGAACGTAAACTCTCTCTCTCTCTCTCTCTAGCTCTCTTTAGATACAACGGTCTTGTTATAGAAATAGCACTGTTTCTCCAAGTGGTTTGGCCACAGTATGAGAAGATTGATCTAATGGCGAAAACCAATGGTTGAGGCATCTGCAAGTGTAATCGTTCCTAGTCTTACTGAAATAGGTACTTTATTCCACTTCTCTTTCCACCGGGGTTCTCATATAGAATGAGATCTATTACTTTTCTTTTCCAACACATTTCGATTCCCCTTATTCTTTTCTTTCTCAACTCACATATACATATATTCGTTTACATGCTTCCGTAATCATGTTCTTCGTCATGGTGGATGCATGGAGGCCTTGCGCAAAAGTTTGGCGATGCGCGTTTCTGGCAGCGATTACATATCGACAGTTCCGATAAATTATGGGAACTCTGGAACGAACAATCTCGTCGACGATACATCGTTTCTCTCCTTAGTAGGAAGTGGTTCAGGGCATTAATCACACTGGGGAAATGCATACGCGTTAAATTAATTATGCGAAGAAACTTGGAAATGTTTCGATAGGATTTATGTTTTACTGTTGTCGATTCCTCGATACTTTCAACTTTTACGCCCGGCATCGTAGGAATAACGACCGAGATTATTTCGGTTAGTATGGTCTAATGTATCATGTAAGCAGGATCGTGAAGTCCTTTTCTTGTTGTTGTTGCTGAGTTATGATAAAACAAGATAATATAGAACTTTTCGAACGTGTACATGACGTATTCCAGATAATCCTTGGGAAATGGCAGGCTCGGGGCCAGCTTCTCGTTCGCGATAAAAAGTCAGCGCGTAAAAAAAATTTATCTTGATTTCCCAGTTGGAACAGAAACATTTGCCGTAACAGATCGACAAAAAAAAGTAATAATCCAAAATTAGTACGTTCGCTTTTAGAGGTCAGTTTGAACATATGGCCTTGTATAATTAATGTTACCGGACTCTCTTTTTCTCTTTATTTTTATCCCTCAATGATATTATCCTGCGATTATTGGAAACATGTGGGACGCAATTATCTCTTCATTAACGCACCATCCTGTTTGAATTGATAATCCATACGTCGCAGTGATGTCGCATAAATAAAATCATTTTTCCATTCTCAAATCCATAAATTATTTACGGTAATTATATAAAGGAAACGAGAGACCGAACAATCGGGTGAAAAGATTACGTGAGTCCTTTCATCAACGTGTATCACGTGTGTCGCGTGTTTCGCGCCTACGCATCCGGTGTGCGTGTTTCACTGTCGTATAACACGAGGGAAAATATGGGGACAAAGAAAGATAAAGAGATAGAAAAAGAGAAAGAGAAAGAGAGAGAGAGAGAGAGAGAGAGGGAGAGAGCATTGTAGTTGTCTGAGAATGGTAGTAATCTACCTGTTCAATGAATGTAAGTATTCTCCAGTTTCTTTCTTTCGGCTGCTGTAGTCTGACCATAAATGATATTAACTACTGACATTTAAACGTATCGTAGCATTAACTACTTCAAGTAGAATAACGGTAGATTTATTAAAAAAGAACGGACAACGGGAATGGTCAAGAAGTGAAAGTTCTTAACGAAGATAGAACGAGACAACGTAGCTCGAATAAAAATTCAAAGATAACCTTCTCGGGAGAATTGAAGGGTCTCTGGGACTAACGTACGAAAATACGATGTAGCATCAATGTTCCAGAGAGAGAAAAGGTGGATTTTGTACGATTACGCGTAGAAGGACTAGTTGGTTGAGAAAGAGCTAGAGATATTAGTAAAGGGTCTTCATCCTCTTGTTAAACGAGAGACAGAAAGAGAAAAAGGGAGGAAGGGTGGAAGGTAGGAAGGGTGGAAGAGAGGAGGGGAAGGGGAAAAGAGAGAATAAAAGGAGAAATAGTCGAAGGATCATGCGGCAGGTGCTGCCACCTGCTCTGAGGGCGTGGCGCTAGTTCCAGCGGAGCTTAGTCCAACGAAAGCTCCTGCATGCGACGCACCACTGGAGCAGCAGCAGCGGTCGCTTTGAGGTCGAGCGAGAGAGCCCCTAAGGGAGAGGGTGGCGCGCGCGAGAGGGTTGAAAAGAGAGAGAGAGAGAGGGAAACAGAGGGTGAGAGAGAGGGAGAGAGAGAGAGATAGATAGATAGCAGCGTGCGCGCGTGTAGTAGAGAGGTACTATCCTCAAAAGGATAGAAGGACGGATAACGAGGAGAAGGAAAGAGGGAGTGAGAGAGATAGAGATAGATAGATAGAGAGAGAGAAAGAGAGAGAGAGAGAAAGAGAGAGAGAGAGAGAGAGAAATAGACAGTGGTTGAGAAAGAGGTGAAGAGAGCGTGTGTGTGCGCGCGCGCGTTCGCGCGTAGAGACGCGTGCGTCCTCGTGTGTGCTTGCGACGTATCTCGGATAGCAGGATAGCAGAGAGATGAATGGACGGTTGGTCTGCCGTGCCTTATCGCGACGATGATATCGAGAAGAGGCCGAATACGGGACTCCATCGAGGCGTCTGCGGAAGCATCGGGAGGACGATATGGCTTTGGGCCTGTGCTCCCTTCATCCTCGTTTTCCAGGACGAAATCGACTGAGGATACTTTGTTCGAGACGGTGGTGATTATCGGAGAGGAAGAGCACTGTAACCGGCAGTGACCATGGCGCCTCTCGTCGCGTGCGTGTAAACAGTGCTCAGAGACCACGTTCGAATAGTGTCCTCCTTTGCTGCTATTCCTCCCTTCCTTCTCTCACTCGCATAACCCGATATCACCCCCTACTTCTCAAACAGTGTTCGGTCATTTATGTGTTGTGCGAGGCATCATCGGTTTAACTGCGGGGCGAGAAAGAAATAAAGGAAAAAAGAGAATGAGAGAATGAGAGAGAAAAAGATACGCCTGGTGGATATGTCTTGAGTAAAGTCTAATTTATTCATTTTTTTTTTATATACTAATCTATTTTAGAATTGGGAGGATGTGTGATCGAGTGAGAGAGATCACGGAGAAAACGTATTAGGGTGGAAAACCCGTTAGATGATCTCTTTTGTTCTTTCCTATTCCTCCACAGGTATCTATCTTTCTCCCTCGTTGTTTCTATCTCTCTCATGGGAGCTAAGTGCGATACGTGATGCTTTCTTCCTGACTTAACAACTGGAGAGAGGCAAGAATGATTGTTGAGTCTTCTTCGGGGTTCGTTCTCACGCGAACGATTTAATGCTAACCGTGGACCATCTCTAATCAGAATGTTATACTTCGTTGGGTTTTTTTCGGAGATGAACATTTTTTACATTTCAACCCGTTCAAAAGTTTGTTTCGCATTTTTTATTCCTTTTTTCAATGAGGGAAATGATATTGCGTCATCGCAACGTGACCAAGACTAACACGGCATGTGCCTTGTCCGTTTAAATGCGGATCCCGTGTTCCTCCTACTTGTTCTACGTGTTCTTCCTCCATGTTCTGCGTGTGTATGTGCGTGTACGTATGTGTGTCCGTGCTGTACCACTGACAGTCGATACGCTAAACTGTTTCCTTTTCATCTCCTAAGATAACTGTGTTTTAATGTCCTATTGTTGTTGTTGTTGTTGAAGATGAAGGATCGTAATTTTCTGATGAAATGAAACAAAAGTTCGAATTAATGTCTGCACTCCCGTCTTTACGCGATTATGTCAGTTATTGATGCAATCAAATGTGTTGCAGGGTTTTGCGAGATTTAGAAATGGCTTATAGTCATTGTCGAGAATATCAAAAGTATTTACTTCTGTCGTACGAAGTTTCAAGAAAAGGTGGTTTGGACGAAAGGAACGTTCACGTTTCGTTTCGATCGAGGAGTCGAGATAATCCAGTAGGGGTGGTTTCCTCTTTCTCTCTCTCTCTCTATCCCCCTCTCTCCCTCTTTTTCCTTCTCTCTCTCTCTCTTTCTCTCTCTCTTTCTCTCTCTCTTTCTTCTTTTTCCATCTATCTCTATCTCCTTTCTTCATACAGAACCGAAAGAAAGTTTGTTCTAAATCTCAGCGTTTTTTTTGGCCAAGCTATGTTGCAACGGGCATTCTCACAAAATACAAGCGGAAACTCTCTCTTTCTCTCCATCTTACTCGCTCCCCTTACTTTCGATTGCATTGCTGAGTAAACAACAGCATTGTTATACTTCATCTTTCGGCAACTTTTTTCCGTATAAATATCACTTCGCTTATATAGTTCTTTTATTCGTTGGAAAATTTACTGAAATTTTAGACCAACGTCAATCGAATAGCTCGCCTATGAGAATTATTGTTGTTGTTGTTGTTGTTGTTGAATCATTCTGATTAAATCTAAAATCGTTTTTGAAATTCAACACTTTTCTTTTCTTTTCTTTTCTTTTCTTTTCTTTTATTGTTGTTGTTGTTGTTGTTGTTGTTGTAAATGATTTTGATATGAAAGATCATGCATTTGTCCGTAATCCTAAACTTTCTTTCCAAGAAAAACATATTCTTACGACGATCTTCGATTCTGATCGAAAAGATCGCTGAAGGATCGTTGTAAAATATAGAATATGAAGGGAGCAGCCAGGAGTGACACGTGATTCAACAATGTTTTACAGGCGTAACGGCGGACGAACGTGTGTGCGGTCGGTCGAGGTAAAAGCGTGACGATATCGAAGAACACAGTGACTCGTTGCTGCTGTTAAGTAGCATATATACATATATATATATTTATGTATATATATGTGTATGCATGTGTGATAGAGAAATTGAAGGATCGTGCGAGTGACGGATGTGGCGACGTGGGAAAATACGCTGACGATTTTCGTACGTTCGATCGGCTTTGCCAATTTCCAACCATTCCTAAATACCCCGCGTGATTGTCTCTCTCTCTCTATATATATATATATATTTTTCTCTCTCTCTCATTCACTCACTCTCTCTCTCTTTCTTTCTCTAATTATCATTGTGTACAAAGTTCGCCCACGTTAATCAAGTCAGTTGCAATGGTGTTGCACGAGGTGGTGATCTTCTACGAGACCAATTTGGATAGAGGAAGCTCAGCACCTTTGTGTTCACCTTTATTGACGCATACTCACAGAAGACTGAGGTGTATCATCCCACATTCGAAACAACATATCGCTTATCCACCATAAAAGGTAAGAAAACGATCTCCAAGCGACAAGGTAGATATGTAATTTTATCCAGTTTTCTTTTTATATCATTTTTTTTTTCTCGTTCGTTCGTTCGTTCGTTCGTTCTACGTTAAACCCCGACGTAATAATAAAACCAATTTTTATTCAACGCAAATCACCTAGACGTCAGTTATTTATCTTTCATTATACCACTAACCCGTAACTGCTATAAAATACTTTCCCAAGTATATACGGGCACCATATTAAAGTTATCGAGTGTGTAAACCGGGCTTTTATCGTTGCGAACGCGGAAGTACTTTTTGCTTGGTCACGCTGTACCTGTTCAGATGGTGGATCTCCATAAAAAAAATAGAAAAAGAAAAAAAAAAGAAGAAGAAAAAAACTAACCTATAAAAAAGTATCTTTCTCCTCTTGGATCTCGAAGAATTTTTCTTAACTCAAAGGGTTCATCCTCGTGATTTATTTTATGGATCCTTTTGGATCCTTTAGACGAACTTGAGTTTTAGCAATTGTAACGACGAGGTGTTAAAAAATTAATTGCATCATGCGATCTTAGCACATTACCTTTACCTGTTGCATCGTGTTCGTGACGACGTGTACGAAGAGAGTGAAGGAAAAGGAGGAGGAGGAGGGGGTCGGAGGGGGTGGTAGGGGGAGAGGAAGAGAAGTGAGTTTCGTGGTTAAATGAGTCGTGACGTTTGTAAGTTTCCTTGACAATTTGCGACAGAATCGATTCGATTTGCGTCAAGCGTTAGGTAGACGACTTTGTAGGAGCTTGCTTGCTTTTAAAACAACGCGATCGTAAATCGCAATGGGGATTAAAAATTTATCGTATCGTTTCTGGGGGGTGTTTTTTTTTCTTTTTTTATTTTTTTTTTCTTTCAAAAAGACAAACTCCCTTGCGATCGAGAATGACGGAGATAGTTATTGTGAGATTTCTTTCAATGGTTCAATCATTTATAAGGATCATTGAATGATACGGTATCAGAAAATACGATAGAAAAGAAATTGATTGAAATAAATTGTGCATTGATATTATTATTATTATATAATAATACGTACTACTATTTGTATATACTTTGATAATATTTTCTGATAATAATAGGATGATCGTTGTTGAGTAATTTGAATAATTTCGAATTCCTAGTTGCAAGGATACTCGAAATAACTCAAATAACGATAGCGTGCATTGATGTAGTTCCTCCTGTATCATGAGGATACAATACAAATTATTAGAGCACACATTGTTTATGAAACGACCAATAGGAAAATATGAAATTTAAATACAATTTGGGACAGTTTACAAATTGGATAGCTTACCGAAGTAATGGAAATAATAGTATTTACTTCGTTATTTCCATTATCTCTCTGAGTCGAGTTACAGAAATTGTATATTTGTAATAAAAACAAAAAAAGTCGTACAATATTATATTTCGTAATAAGAGAATTCGTTCGTCCGAGTATCTCCTATCATTAAAATTTTATGACTAGCGTGATAATTTGTTGAGCTGATCCTCTCGTGAGAAATAAAATGTGCAGGTAAGCGAGTTTACTTGTAATAGTGTGTATATGATGCATGAGACTCCAAGGAATTAAGTGGGTGGAATTTAACGAGACGTTCTCAGTAATTCACAGAATTCACATCGATGATTCTAATTTTGTGAATTTTTCTATTTCCCATTTGAATGAAATTAGATATTTAAACAACATTACGAAGTAATTATTCATAATAATTCTGTAGACAACTATTGTCTTCATAGACACGACCTTAAAAAAATGGTTTTACCATAGTTTCGAACCATTTGGTGGTCTTTTATCAAAGCTATTACATTGAAATGTGTTTTTTCGTTCTGGTATGGTCGACATGACGCAGGTTGACGTAGCGATGCAAACAATGTTTGCTTAAACATTGAAACACTATTGGAAAAAAAAGATCAATGTAAATATAATATATGATAGATATTTATTAATGTATTGTATTTGTATTATGCAAGAATATGCGACGATGTGGCAATATTTATTTTCCAGTCAACCCTAACCCTTAGAAAAGATCGACTGACTGTCAGTTTTGTATGGAACTACACTAGAACCGTTTTACTTTTTAAATCCTCTTCCCTTTTTGTAAATATTCCTTGCACGTCTTTGAACGTGAATATCCTAAACAGTATCTAAAAAATAAAATTATTTCTAGTTTAACGTTTTAAATGCATTCGACAAGATATTTCTATACATGAAGCTCATAATCTAATCAGATGTTAAAAATCTTTAACTTAACATACGTAAATATGAAAAATATATGTGTTCATAAAAATAATCCGTTTAAAAGGTTAACGCTATTTATTTATTTAAACTAACACTCTATTTCAGTCATGAATGGTTAAATTCGACTTTACGTACCTTTCAAATTTATTTCTTTCTCGTGCTTTCTAAAAATTTCAAGTAAATGCGCGAATTATGTTAGATAAACATTTCCTTCCACGAAAACCTTTTCCACTAATTACTTACACGCTCATGTTTAAAGAAAATATTTTTAGCTTTAACGAAAGAAGAAGAAGAAGAAGAAGAAGAAGAAGAAAAAGAAAAAGGATCGAATGGGGGAAAAAAGGAAGATGGAAGTAGAAAGAACAGTGGTTAAAATTTAATTGAAACTTGGTTGGATTAATGGACAATTAGGGCCTCACAACAAACGAAGCTAATTCGGAGTGACATAAATCGACTGATCGGGGACACAGCGAAGCGTAATGTTCTGGAAATGACTGTCTGTGAAATCCAATGGAGCTTGAATAATTACAGGCTAGTGTGCGTAAGAGAGAGTTGTGTCCCATAGATCGAATTTGAGCCTCAAAATTCACTACTTTCCAACGACATTGTTTTTACTTCATTTTATTATAGCTATATATTTTTGTTGAAATAAAAAGAAAATGGAAATAACAAGAAACGAAAGAATGTGTTTCATTTAATGTGGCTGGAATATTTGCAAGTTGAACGATGCGTTGACTTTAATTACTTTCCGGGATGAAAGTTTATATCTTGCTTTATATCCAGGCACCGTTGCTTTTCTGAATATTTGACATATATTAGATATCTCGATAAAAATATCTTTTTTCGTAATAATAATAATATTAATTGAAAATATTATTTGAATATATTTGAATAAAATACTTCGAATTTATTTATTTGTCGGAATAATAATTTACCGATATATATTTCTACAAACTTTATATATATATAAAGTTGAAAATGAAATTGACAGTCCGGGGTATTGCCAATAAACGTATTAACACATAGAATAATTTTTTTATCACGACTTTTCTGGTATCAGAAAGATATTCGACCTGTGTTTTATCCTTCCCTTTTAAATGTTACTGTTGGCATGAAACAAAAGCTAGTACCGGTCTTTGTCCCGAATTGCATACCGGTTATTATTACACATCAGTTATTTTCTCACATGCATGCTCGCTACAAAACGGCTTCCATCGGGGCTTGTGCTAGCTGCTAGCTGGCATACGGTGAATAGTAGAATTTCGCCTTTCATCTTTTCAATGCGCTCAGGCTGCTCGTGCGATGACACTTGCATTCTCTAGGAAAGTGTGACCTAGTCTTGCAGTTACTTGCTCGAGTTAAACATCGCGAAATAAGCGCTATCTCCTTTTTTCCGACCTTAAATCAACCCCCTCCCCTCCCCTTTCTCTCTCAAGCTTTTCATTTTTTTCCCTTTTTTATATTCTTCCTTTGTACCATTCCTTTCGTTTCGCGTTCCTGTCAGTTAAAATCCTTTTTGCAGTCGAGTTCGTTGATACGATTTGACCGAAAAAAAAAAAATATAGAGAAAAAAATAAGAAATAGAAATATGCTTTACATGTTTGCCATTTTGACGAGTTCCACTAATTGTTCTTAAATAGAGAATTTGCTTAGAATTAAGCACCGAGTCCTCTATGTATTCTCAAGATACGCAGTACAAAGTTCTCAACCTCGTAGACCCACATCGTTACGCGAATTACGAGACAGCATAACTTTTGGTAGAATCAAGAATACATAATACTTTATACATTATTTTACTTAAACGTATTCAACATCGAATGTCTTGGTTTTATATTTTATCGAATTATTTAGGCTTGCAACTTCAATAAAATCCTTCGCTAGATTAATTTAATTATTTCATTGAATCCTTTCAAGTGGTAATGAAATAAACGCAAACTAACAACGAAAGAGTAAAGTATTATTAAAAATATGTATCTCGGGCAAACAATAAACGACAAAATAATCTTCGAGATGTCTGGGACTTTGGTGGTTGGAATAAATTTATTCCGTTTAAAATTGACCGATATATAAGCCGATTTCGGAACATCTTGAGATTGAACGAGAAATGCCGGGTGGAGATTGAAACTTTCATAAAAGTAATAACACGTTACGTTCGATGCACGCTTATGGCTCGTCTTAATCTTCTTGTCTGTAGCTTGCTATTAAAGTGTCACCATGTGTTTGATACGTTGCAGCCATTAGCTTCAAACACCATCTGATACTGATAAAGGTTCAACGGTAAAACAAGAAAGCAAGATACCAGTTGAAAATAACGAACTTTCATATAGGTATTCTAGATCTAAACGTCAGATATCCAAAATTACAAACTTCTTTGTTGAAAAATACTCGAACGTAGACTCATATAAATTGAATTGTCCAAGTTCGTAAATATTGTTGAGATAAATTCGTTACGTGTTTGTTAGTATTTCATCATTAGCATAGACCCATTTTGTAAAATTCTATTTTTAGGTAAAAACCGTCTACGAAATCGGCAATATTCTTATTCGAATATCGTTGAATCTACTTATAGCTATACCCGTAATAACGGAACTCTCCCTTTTCTCTTCGAAACGATATCTATTCTGTGAATCGTTCCCTTGTCAACCCTAGCTTATTCAAGGAAATTCGCATATCGATCGTTCGGAGTTTTGTGAAGTAACAAACGGAAGGAAGAGGTTACGTTTATTTTCATCGTGTCACAT